AACAAAAGAGTGGTTTGTTTAGTTATTTTCTATGTTGGTTTTTAATATTGGTTTTACATTGTTAAAAATATTGGATATAGATTAAATTTATAGAAATTACTGATGAGAAACAAAAATATTTTGAATAAAGTATCTAAGGAGAGAATGAGAGTTAATACTTTAATGAGAAGGAATTTAATGAAGTGAATTAATAATACTTTAAATTATATTTTTACCCTCAGTTTGTTTTAGTCAAAAAAATTTCACAAAGCTCACTTATTTAATGTGCCTTAAATATAAGATTTAATGAAAAGAAATGGGAGTAAATACCTTAATATAGAACTTAATAATGAAGAATATAATAAATTTAATAAAAGTAGTAGTTCAAATTATATTTTTTGCACTTAAAATAAAGAAAGAACAATTTAAAAAATAAGGGTATTTTATTAAAAAAATCCATAATTCTCATCCACACACTTTTAATAGTATGTATTTATGTATGTATGTGTAAATTGAGACAGGTTTGCGAGCTTTCAAACCAAACTGTTTATTGGTCGAGCTCATGTTCACATAACTAATTGAACTTACCTCAACGTTGGAAGTAGATTTGAGTTCAATTAGAATATAAATCAAACTCAAGCCCAAACTATTCAATTAAAGCTCAAATTGATCGCAGTCAGCTAGGAACACAATGTTAGATAAAGGAGAAAGGAAAGGAGATGCCATCCGACATGGCTAGTTTTGTTTTAATATATAGTAATAGATTATTTAAAACTATAAACTCAAAAATCTGATTTAATCTAATCCAGCCCTGGGGTGCAGGCAGGATGGTGGTCCTGTCTATCCCCTTTTCATGGGTATTAATCCTGGTCTATGATCACCCCACCCAATTCACAACATGGCTTAAAGAGAGAACCAAAGACATTATACAAGGAAAAAAAAAACAAATAAGCTCGAAATTGATTACCCACACACAAATACAGCCGCACATCTGAAACATCTCTCATAGTTGTATGTATGGTGTCATTCAAGGGAGAGGTTCCGTGCAACCATAGTGTCTGGTGGATAGGGTTGGGGTGGCAATCAGTGCTTGAGGATATATGGAAAGTAAGTATGAGCGGATCCTTCAAGATCAATTCAGCCTATGCAATGTTAAATAGCTAGGGAGGAAGAATTGGATGAAAGAAATAGAAAATTTAGCAAGTTACTAGAGAAAATAATCTACCATCCAAAAATTAGAGAGAGACTCCATAACAAATGGATCCATTGTGACCCTGATTGAGGGTCATATGTTCATGCATTGCCAAAAATGGCTAGGCAAGCAAGGGCCCTACTATATATCAGATTATCTTCCAACACCTACTCAACTAAATGCTCAATCAATAATACTAAAAATGTGGGAAGAAATTAAAAATAAAAAATTGGACAAATGGTAACAAAAGCATTCCGAAACATGAAGGAATACATTAAAGCCTAGGAAAGACTAGGGAAGGCCCAATCCAAAATTTATACTAGAATATGGATCCATTGGACCCCCGCCTGAGGAAAATGGAGTCAAAATAATTTTTGACGCCTCAAAAGATGAGGAAAACAACAATTCCTTTGGCTGCCTCCCAATCCTAAGGGAACATAACGCTGTGTTCGGTTTATGGGAATATTTTGCTGGGATAGGAAAAGCAAAGAGAAAATGGGTGAAAATTTTTTGTGTTCCATTGTTTGGATGCAAAAGGTAAAATAGTGGGAAAATCAAACCTAGTAATTATTATTAATTAATTAGTTCGTAATATTGTTATTATTTTATATTTTACTACTATTAATGATTGATCATTAATATTTTAATGAAGTAATTTTATAATTAATTAATAATTAAGAATTAATATTTTAAAATTTATTTTATCAATATTTACTGTGAATTAATTAATACTTTTTATTATTAATTAGATTAAAAACAAAATCCTTATTTATTTATTCATTAATTACTTAGTTAATTATTAATTAGTTAATAATACTTTTATTATTAATCAGATATTAATTATTTAAAATCCATAATTAGTTAATTAATTATTTTAGTTAACTAATATTTTATATTTTATTAGTTTATAAGTTATTATTAATATTATATTTTACTAATACCCATAACTTAATTAATAATTTTAATATTTTAATATTAATTATTCACAAATTATAAAATTATTTTTCATTGATAATTTTTAATTAAATTATTAATTATAAAATCATTAATTAATTATTAAATATTTTGTTGGTAATTATTAATTATTTAATAATATTTTTCCGATTTATTATTTTTATTGTTAATTAATCATTAACATTAATTAATATTTTATTTTTTATTAATTTATATTTTATTTTATTAATACTTATGACTTAATAATAATTTTAATATTTTATTCCGAAAAATAATTAATTATTAAATTATTTATTGATTAATAAATTTATTAATTATTTATTTTAAGTTATTTATTAATTTTTTTGTTAATATGTTCTTAAATAATTAATAATTTATTTATGGCTCATGGAACTAGTATTGACTCTTAGAAATACTAAGGAAGGTGCTTTTTTTGTTAAATAAGTTTCCCCCTACATTTCCACTTGGTGGGACTCCACATCCCACCTTTTTCCCATCCCATCTCATGACATCCCACAAACCAAACATGAGAAGGGAGGAATGTTCCATATTCTCTTCCCATCCCACAAACCAAACGCAACCTAAAGGAAAAGTTATCAAATCAAGTACTAGTCCCATTGGAATCTTATTAGTGATAGTGGTTGAAACGAGAGAATGCCTTGAACTCATAAATTAGAAATCATGATAGGAGCGGGGAAGGTAATCATTGAAGAAGACTCGAGGACAACAATTGACGCCATAGAGACGCTAACGAATCTATGTCTATATATTAAAGTGCAATGTGCCAAGCTGGCACTTTCTTTCCTTATGGTTTATTCTCAAAACCACTCTTCTCTTTTCTGGCTTCTTTTAAAGGCATTTATCTTTTTTTTTCTGTTTTTTTTGAATTTTCTATAATAAACATATTTGTATTAAATTATCGGTAAAGATTAATTATATTGAAATTGAGATATTCAAGGATATATTATTGCACTAAATAATCTACTTCCATTTAAAATTATAATCCATTTATATTCAATTTGAAAATAATAAAAATTAATTAACCATAATAAAAATAACTTAGTAAGTTACTTAAATAACCATAATAAAATATATTTATTAATATAACAAAAAGAATTTAATTAATAAATGGAATAAGATAAATTAAAAACGAATATCAATTTATAATTAATATAATACTAATACAAAATTATCTAACAATTATTAGTTTTATAATTAAATTTTATTAATTTAAAACCAACTTAAGTTCCACTAAAAAGTAAAAATTTATATAGTTAATTAAATTTCACACAGAATTTAAATTTAATAAAAACTTAATATACTTAAATAAATTCATTTTTTACTAATTTCAAAAATTAATAAAAAATATTAGTTTTAAACATAGTTTAATTATTTTAAAATCAATATAAATTTGATATAAAAATCAGGAAAATTATAAAACCTCCTTGGGTTTTCTTATAATCCTATGAAACTCCTGAGTGTTTTGACCTTAACAACCCCCCTATTGTATTGAAAAAAGTGCAAATACCTTCCTTTCGTGAGGATTTCGAATAAAAGACGTTGTTGTAATGCATTAATTTTTCTTCACTTCAACCTTTTTACATTTGTCTAAAGAGAGCAAGGAGAATTATTCTTTGAAAGTTGTCTAACAAAAAGTGGAGGGTAAAGTTGAAACTTTAAATTATGTATAATAATGCATTAACAATGATAAGGGTATTTTGGTAATTTTATTGTCTTTGATGCCGAAGAGCTAAGGGAAAGGAGGTATTTTCACTTTTTTCTCAAAACTATAGAGAAGGCCTTTGTTAGGGTCAAAACACAAAGGCAGTTTATAGAATTGTTATAAAGGGATTTTTTATAATTTTACCTAAAAATAATACATAAATAATAATAAACCAATAAAATATATTTTCCAAAAAAAATAATAAAAATTAGGATTAAGATACAAAAAAATACAAATTTATCTAGAGAATAGAAAATTGGTCACTCTCACTATAGTGCAATTTAGATTGTGATCGGATATACATAGACACCATTTAATTAGAAATGTCATGGAGCTCCATCTTCAATTTTGCTGATAAATAAAGTCCATGCATTGCACGGGTCTTGATTAGTAGTAGATAAATGCAAAAGGATCACAAGGGAAGGTGGCTGTGAGGCTCTGAGATGGTATACAATTACATTCATAGAAAAGACAACCAGGCTGCAGATTGGTTAGCAAATGAAGGTCATAAGGGGGTATTTTTCCACATTGGGTGTAAATCTATCTCATAACTTGATGAAGCCTTCTTTGAAGTTTGATAATTGGTTTGATAATTGTAAACAACACTGCTAAAATTTCAAGCATAATTGTAAACAGACTCCTTTGTTATAATCCTCTGATAAGAGGCACAAATATCTGAAATACTAGAGTTATTAGACATGAAAGGGCCATAAGCGTAAGCCCATAAGGCCATAACCATTAACCAAACTGTTCCTGCTACCAATTTGAGGTGTTATTAATATTATCATCTTGAACAATGTTGCCACTTGAGCACTTCCCATAAAAACATGCTTGCGTGATCCAGCGTCCAAACGAGCATTTAAGCCAGATAATTGATGTAAAGGTGTCTCGCATCACGAGACAGTTGTCATTTTTTTTTGTATTTGGCTCCAAAAAACAAAATTTTTGTATTTTAAGCGATTACTCCCACGGTTCAAAACACAACTCCGAGGTGGCTCCGTTCCGTAGAGTCAATAACGGAGAAAGAAGCAAGAAGAGTGACGTGCCTACGGCCAAATGCTCCCTCAGTCCCTCTCAATCTAAGAGGCTCGTTTTACACCATAGCCAACATTCAATTTTCTTTCACGCGCGCCCTCTCTTCTCTCCACCAAATTACAACTCTGGAGTCTGGACAAACCTCTATATCTCCATTAAAGACCGATATTAAATGAGAGAGAGAAAGAAGATCTCGTATTTCTATTGTTTTGAACATTTTTGACTGACACATTAAAAAAATTCTGACATGGGTTTCTATGAACTCCGCTCGTCTCCACGTGTATTCTGGGAGAGAGAGAAAGAGAGAGAGAGAGAGTCTTTTTGAGTTTTTTTCCCCTGGAGGAAACTTTCGTCGGTTGCGTTTTGTTACTTAAGGAGTGAGCGGTTGAGTGCCGACTGCCGAGAGAGCACTCATTGTGAGAGAAAAGTTGTCTGAACTCTGAAGAACTCCGTTTCGTGTTTTGGCTTTTGAGGAAAAAGTGGGATTTACATTGAGTAATGAAGACTTTTGGGTCCTGGGTTCTTGTTACATTGGCTGGAATAGCATTGATGTTCTTCGCCTTCACCAGCAGCTCCGTCTATGGTATCTCTCTCTCTCTCTCTGATGTTCCCTTTCCATGTATATTGTACTGGCATTAAATAGAAAGCTTTCACCTTGTTGGCTAGTTCTACTAAGAGAATGTTTTTAGTTGATTGGATTGGAGTTTCTTTGGTACTACTTCATTGAAGTCGTCTGCTATAGCCTTTTGTTTTATTGTTGCCTACTTCTGATTGAATCTCATTTCTGATTTGCTTCCGTATTAAGCTGCGGTTTTGAGAAGGAAAATGGTGAGGTTAGCTTGGATGCCTGAGAACAAGCTGGGGGAACTATTACTTACCCTGCATTTAGACCGATAAGGGGAGATTCCAAATAGACCCACCTCCATGAAAACGTAAAATTTTATTCTCTATGAGGTTCCAGTGCTCAACTTTCTGCATTTAGCTATTTGATACCTCTTATGTAATTTCTGAATTCAAAACTGCTGAAACAACAGTTGTTGAGTTTATGTATGTGTTTGTGTGTTCTGCATTTACCTATTTGGCGCCTCTTATGTAAGTTCTGAATTCAGAACTGCTGAAACAACAGTTATTAAGTTTGTGTGTGTGTGTGAGAGAGAGAGAGAGAGAGAGGGAGAGAGAGAGGAAGGGGGTTGTGTAATTCCTGTTTTGCATAATTTCATAATTATCTGGTTATTGTTCTGTGAAGGAAAATTAGATTACTCTTTTATTATCTTTCCCCCTTCTTCTAATCGTTTTCGGTGTTTACATGCAATTTCTGGTGACAGAGTACCACCTCAAACTTTCAAAGCAAAGTATAACCCAAGAAAGGTACATGGGACTATGGGAGTTGAGATCTTCTAGTAAGCTCTGGTGAACCAAAAGGGATGGCATTTATCCCACTTTGGTCGGGGAATCAATTTTGTATGGGAGTGGATACGTGTGTGGGATGATTTAGTAACTAAAACCTTTGAGTAAACTACTTATACCAACCCTTGGGGTTTCATTGCCACCCCTCAAGTTTACTTAGGGGATGTTTGGAACCGTGGCCGTTTTTCAAAAAAACAGTGCCACGTCGGATCCACATAGGCGTTTCAACAAATGCCCATGTATCTCATTGTTTGGTTCAGCTGATTGTTAAAAAATCAGGCATGCCTCGAAAATTGGGACCCCACCGATGAATTTGGCGTTTCATGCATCGGTGAACCGTTTCCCCCAGCAGTTGACTGATGTGTATCCTATGTGGTGCTTACCTGTTAGTACATACATGAAAAACGATGATGAAAATCACCTTACCAAACAGTATATTGTTGCTCACTGCCTACATGGCAGAAGCGTTTTTTTGTGAAAAACGGGTCTTGGAAGCATGGGCGTTTTTTCTTGAAAATTGGTCCCAAAAGCACCCACGCTTCCAAACACCACCTTAATAACTTGACCCACTTCGACCACAAAACTACAGTGGTTTGCTTATGGAAAAGACAGAAATATACATTTTACCAAAGTGCTTTTAACAATGAAATACTAGTTTTTGCCTCTAAAATATATTTTAAAATTTACAAGCACTAATTACTGTTTTGTATATCAAGATTTTATTTTATTTTTCTTGAATCTGTATTCAATTGTTCGTTCACACTTTAACTGGTGGAAAAATTTTGTCCCTTCAAGAAGTATAAATGATACAATATACAAGAAAGTGCCAAATAAAAGGTAAAATAGACCTAAAGTTTTTAATGTCAACCGAAATCTTTCTGTCACTGAAACTAAAAGGGGTTAGTAAATTAATAGGTAAACCCAATGAGAGGTACTAGTATTTGACCAAAACCTCAGGGGAGGTATAAGTAATTTACCTTTGCATTGCAAGAAAATGTGCTATCATGATTGATGGTAGAGAAATGCCCACTGAAGCTTCAGTAGAGGATACAGATTTGGTATATGAAATGTGCTTGTATTATGGGTCTGCATCCAGAAGGACTGTGCATAATGAAATTGGTCGTGTTCTGGAGCATTGGTTCATTTCTTGGGCTTTAGGAACAAGAACTGATTGATGTGGGGGGCTGGGGGGTCCTATGGTCCTGAGTTCTGTAACTTCACTTACATGGTTTTCTATGTTCTCAATGTCCCCTAATTCAAGTGTGTATGGTTTTAGTATATACAACTTTTTAAGGAGTTCTAATCACAGTTTCAGTAACCACCAGTATCAATCAAGCCATCAAGTAATGTGATGCAAATGATTTCAGAACTTGGCAAGAGTTCTATTCTTCATTATAAAAATAAGTTTCAGTAAGCTAATCACATATAGCTGTATCCCTGACGTTCATCTTCAACAAATTCTACTCCCATGAGGTTTAAATGTTCATATATAGTAGAGGCTATAGCAGCCTAAACCAAAGTTTGTCTTTTTGAATCCTCTATGGGAACAAGGTGATACAGGGAAGTCAAAGCCACTGTATGTACTATGGAGAGACGGAGGTGAACTCATAAAGTTGTCCTTGAGGGGCCAGTGTACAGAAAAGTAAAGTGCCTTCATGTGTGTTTGTGTGCATACGGGGTGAGCATGGGGGTGGCCCCCTGCTTCTGCCCGTGCAGAGAAGAACATGAACTTGACTCCTTAAATGAAGGGCCATTGCCCAACAATGGACCTGGTATATTGGGTCTAGGGAAGGGTACACTGGATATGAACATCCTTGTCTTTGACCCTTGACTTAAATGATCTATCTAAATATTTTGCTGGACCTCTGAAAGAAAACCCAATATAACTGACAGTTATGGATCTTGATGAATTGGTTGAATATATAAATAAATTCAAGGCTCACCAAATATTTTATAGCTGTTGATTATGATTTTTGGTGAATTGGTTGAATACATAAACAAATTGTCTACAACTACTACATGAAATACTACCATCCATTTTATATTCACTGTATAAAATATCTAGTGCATGGCAAGTGACATTCATAAATATATATCTGTTACAGTGAGCTGCACACTTGCTCCTGGTCACTAATTTGAGTGGATATTGAAGCAAAGTAGCGTGTTGTAATTGAGTCAATGAAATAGTATTCTAAACTTTTCTTTTGATCTTAGTTCAGGAGATCACCTTTATCTCTTTATGGTTTATGAGCTGAAACTAGTTTTAGTGGAGATCTTGGGGCAGGTGCAAATTTTAGTTTCTTTTGGGTTGCTAATCTCTTTCTATAATTGGTATCCTATAAATGTCATTGGAAACTGGAAACCTACAAGTTACATTCTTGAGTAAGAGTTTGCACTTCTCAATTCTGGCGCTGATTGAAGACTTGCCATTTTTCTTTTATATAAAACTAGAACCATCACTTTTTCCAATGTGATTATTACCACCTGTTAATAACACCGTAGCCCCACTGTTTATACTCCATTAGACAAGTTCCATTGTTTTCCATTCCAAAGTATCTAAAAACTCCTTTTGAATCTATGTTTAACCAGAGACAAAAAATATTCTCCTTTTTTCTTTCATCTAAGAGCAGAACTACCACATTTTCATAATGTGATAAATGACCATATTAATAGTGTCATCTCTCCTGTCCTCTCTTCTCCTTTATTGGATGCGAACTGCTATTGTCTACTTCCTTTTCTCCTCCACTAAAAACTCCCTGTGAATCTATTATTCAAGGAACCCCCAAAATATCATCTGCCTTCACTTCCTCTTTACCTGAATCCAACCAAAATTTAAAACTGCGTAGGGCAAAAATCTCCCATCTTTGGATGCCCCCTTTGAGTTGTCATGGTTGAGTCCATGCTCAGTGGGGGAGATGGTGCTTGTGGCCTGGTCCTCTGCCTTCACTTCCATTTTTGTAACTGAATCTAACCAAAATTTAAAAGCTACAACATGCAAAAGTTCCTATCTTTGGATGCTCCCTCTGAGTTGTCATGGTTGAGTGCATGCTCAATTGTAGATGGTGCTTGTGCCTGATCCTGAGGTCATAAACCATTCTGAGGTCATGGTTGAGTTCTAAAACTTGGTATGTGGTATTATGCTATGAAATTACAATTCATACCATTTCTTGTCTTGACTCACCCTATTTACCAAGTCCACTAAGGCTGCACTGAAATCCAGGTAAGGTCTCACCAAGCCATGGGGATACTATGATGGTGTTTTCATCTTACAGGAAATTGAAGGTAAATATTTCAGTCTATGTTGGCTAAAAAGGCCATAGATCTGCATTTTTTCATTAAATAATATGCCATTGGGAATTTTTTTGCTGATTTAGATATGGTTCTTTTTTCTATGTTATTTGCAGGATGAAAACTATAGTCCAAGCAAGAGGAAAAACTTGGGAAATTTGAACCTGGAAGATTATGGTCATCTTGATCCGCCTCCAAGTTCAAGTTCAAGGGAGACTATAAAATCTGGACCAATTGAGTATGGAACTCCTGTTATTCCATATATTCCAAAGCGAGCACCCCCAAGTCCTCCAAAGGACAATATGTCTCCTTAACCCACTTAGAACATCCTGGATTCTCGAATGACCTGAGATCATTCCACACCAGTGGATATGCTTAAGCTAAATAATATAGTAGCATAATATTTAGGTGATTTAGCACTAGCAGTTTCTTTTATCAAGCTTTACATAGTCTGTATGCAGGAGATTATCAATATATGTGGTGTTTCTTTTCCTCTTTATTTAATATATATTATTTTTTTCCAGTTGATGTCCTGCCTGGCATGTAAATTTTCCAGTTGATGATGACCCTCTGAAATTCAAGGGGTCATCATCATTGTTGTTCTCATCTCTATCGTTTTGATCATTACATCCTATCATCATCTTGAGTTTAATTTTTTTTTATGAGTAAATATGTATTTTATTAAAATTCAGATTGTAATCAGTTTATACAACTTGATGATGGGACTGATGATCCCCTTTCATCACTCTATTCACCCCTCATTACAGTGTAGCCCAAAATAAGTGCTGTCTCAAAGCCCCTTGTTTTGTTAATCCATCAGCTAGCCCATTTGCACTTCTCCACTTTCCTAATCACATGTTTAAACATCCATGGGGTGTGGCTGCTATTTGTTGCCCATGAAATTACTACTTTTGAGTCCCCTTCCACTTCAACATGTCTGCATCCTAGTTGTTTGGCTAGCTTTAACCCTTGTAGTAATGCCAATAGTTCAGCCTTCAGCGAGTTTCTATTGCTGATCGGTCCTGAGAACATACCCAATATCCTCCTGTCAGAGTTTCTTAATACTCCTATTCCTGAGATGCCTGGATTTCCATATGAGCACCCATCAAAATTCATCTTTACTTATCTGCCTTCAGGTGGTTTCCACTCCAGCCTTACTCTCAAAGATTGAGCTACTTCGGATCATGTTCTTAGAATATCTGCGACTTAAAAGACTTGAAAGCAGTCCAAGGGTTTTGCCCAATGGGCTACTTTCACCTAGATACATTTCAACACCTTACAATAAGCCTCTTTCTGAACTTCTTTTTGACAAATAAGCCTCTTTCTGAACATTACATATTCACATCCTATGGTGCTTTCTTTTGTTGCATGAAACTGCACATTGGTCATAGCAAAAGTTAAGGAGTCTGGTGCTGAAAGTCGTTGTTTATGTCCAATGGCTTTCCAATGGAGTCAGATGTTCATAGTTAGTCAATCATGAAAACTATTGTACCTTGTGCACAAAACAGATCATAGCCACACACCAACAGCAGCAAACTGTTTACCAGAAAATAGTTCTGGCTTGTTCATCATGGATAAGGATGGTTGCAGGTAATAATCTGTTTGTTCTGCCTTCAAAAAAATATCTATTTGTTCATGGGCACTGCAAAAATTTGTCCATTCTTAATAGGTAAATGGGGATAAGCAGATACTGACCAATTACATTATTGAATGCACAAATATACAGCAGCTACAATCTGTGGTATCCAATAGCCCCTGGCATCATCTTCAGCACACACACACCCACAAAGCGAGAGAACTCGCAGCAACATTGTTTAGGAGTGTGGGCTTCAGTGTCTCGAGGGGAATCCAGGCCAGGCGTCTGTTATTTCAGTCTTGGGCTTGTTCCAACCATAGAAGAATGTCTCAATGTCAGCCAGGCTGCTGGTGGAGTTTTGCAGAACTTCTTGGGCCAGAAACTGGGTTAGACTGTAGATTCATCTGGGTTCCTCCTAAGCCCAGCCCACCAGAGTCACATGAAAGTAAATAATCCCACTGCTGAATGCTTAACACTCTTGCTCATTGAACCAAATATCTCGGGTTGGGCTTGGGCCTCTTTTTCTGTTTAACTTGCTATCACACTTATTTCATTTATACCATAGTTGAAACATCCTCCATTTCATGGTTAGAGGCCTAGAGGGGGTTCTACCAGTATCAGTATTTCCTAAACAAAGACCAAATCTATGGCCCTATTTCTACCCTAAAGCTGTGTTTGGTTTGAAGGAAAAGGTAGGGAAAGGTATAGGTCCTTTCCCTACCTTTTCCTTCAAAGCAAACATAGCATAAATATCTCCAGAAAATGTTTACCATGTATCCCTGATTTCTCTTCGTCCCTGTTGCATTATCACACTGTCCGCCTTGTAAGTTGTAATTGTCATAACAGCAACGTCTAACTACTTATGTATTGTTCAGAACTAACATCTAATCTTCTACAAATTAAAGCTCTCACCTACTTGAAAAGGGAAGCGAAATAAAATAAGAGAATATAAACCAAAGAAGTGCATTACCTATTGCACCAACCTCCCCCACTTGATTTGCAGAATAGAGAAGATTTCTTTCCCCTAAAGCTATTCCCATTAGCCCTCCAAATTTCTTTCCAAACATCAATAAATCCTTTCAACAATGAATTCACAGAGTACTTGAAACTCCTCCATCAATTCACACCCCACCCAGTGGAATTCTCATATAAGCTCATTTTCTTCTCTATGACTCTACGTTCTCATCAATAGGAAATAGGGTGGGTCATTGTGGGGCCGGAGTTTTTTCCACTCAGTCTCGGTTTTAATTGGTCACAATCTTCTCTTTGGTGGGATTGATAGTGGAAAGGTGAAGCAAAGCCATAAAGACAGGGGGAGGGGGTCCAAGACAAAATCATTAATATCCCTAGTTTCTAATAGCTTTTAGCGTGGCTACCGTACCTGGTTAACAAACACTACTTAATAGGCGTGTCTACTTTAAGACCAAATATGACCTGGAGTATCTCTCAAGTGACAAAGATTTAGAGAGAACTCCCAACCATCATTATTTGTTAACAAAGCCATCGCTTAACTGAACAGCATCCTTAATTCCTTATTTAACTTATTTCTCAAATTGACCTGCAACGTCCCACCATGACTCACCTCGGGCCCAAGTGTCTAGTACTTAGTTATTTTCATGTTTATTTGTTCAATCAGTTAATTAAGCTCACTGGCCATCTTATGGTTAATAAACGGCACCTGATTTGAGCCCCACCACTATCTCCCCCCACTGTTACGTTTCAACAGAATTCTCTCCCAGGTGGGTTGATTATTATTTTTTATGTCTTCTAAGTTCAAACCCATTAACCCAGCCAAAGTATTAAAAATAAATAAAGCAATTGTGTTGTGGCTTTCAGTCAGTACAAACTATTTAATAATTAATAATTAATACAGGAGCTCCATCTGAAGGAGAGTTTGGGGAGAGGGGGTCAATAAGATTTTATTCTCCTTGTTACAAGTAAAGCAAAACTGATTCATTATCCATGCAAAATTACAAAGCAATTAAAGCTCCCAAGGTGCCAACTCATAAAGACTCCAAAAGAAGTTAATTGCTTTTGGCCTTCTGGCATCTTACTGTTTGTCCTTTTTTTATTGTAATTTGGTTGGGGCAGAGGGCAGACTCCTTTTCATATTTGAAGTAACCAAACATTCATCGAACATTACTTGGGCAAACAAATACATCTATTAACCCAGACTGGGATGAATCCGGAAAATAAATTTTCATCCAATCTGGTGGTGTATACATGAATATTGCAATTTCTCTTTCCCTTTGGCTCAATTTGGAAGGAATATAAATACAAATATATAGAATATAAATGCATACAAAATAATATAAAATACAATATTTTGCACTCTACATACTTGTATTTGTACTCCTTCCAAATGGAGCTTTTGTTCACTAAACACGTTGCTTCTGCTTTACAACCGCTGCCATGAACATTCCAACAAATGTAAGCGTTAAAAAATCAACAGCAGAAATGCACATACTTTTTATTGACATAGGAGTAGGACCTGTCTGCATATTTATTATAAAGATCTAAGATTGATGCTCCATTCTGTTATCTGTATACGTTCACTCGTTAATTCATTTTCTTATTGTTCTTCTGAGTTCTCTCATTATTATGTTGGGCTGTTCTGATATAAAAATTGGTTCACTTTCTACACTACTTTAATTTGAGCGGGTCTGGTATCCTTAGGAAACTAATGCATATATACATATATATTTTCATCCTATTCCCATAGTAATCTTTCTTAACTACAGGATCACCATTTTGGTCTGTAAATCTTCTTTGACCCGTTTGTCTTCCCTTAAATTGTTCAATCAATTTTGAGTTATTTGGTGCATTTTCGGATTTTACCGCCCTCCCTGGATTCAGACTCATCTGGTCTTAGGGTTCAAAGTATCGATACTATATACATAGCGGCAGTATCATATCGGTACTTAGAAACACATGAATTTTTTTTTTTAAATTTTAGTTTTTTGGAAAGTTAAAAATAAGTTAATTTAATTAAAAAAAATGTGGGGTTCCAAAACATCTATAAGCATATCTTTTTTAAAAGATACGATACGATACGCCCGATACTTTAAACCATCTGGGCTTACACCTGCACTGCCTTAGAAAACTGACATTGGAAGAAAAGGTGATCTTGAGTCCCGAGTTCCTTTTGACTTAAAAACGCATTCTTTTCTCCTTTGCAATATCCCTTCACCACGGCTTCTCTTTCTCCATTGTTGGAACTTGGAAGGCCTCCCCAAAATCCAAATACAGCTTCCATGAGTCAGACTTCTTTGTGCACATTGTTTGTTTGTAGTACCTTGTTTTGTTCCAATATATCGAGGTAATAAAAATCGTGCCTTCACATTTTCTCTCTGGTTGATAGATCAATTTCAGAGCCCACCAGCCGGCCCATTAGTGTAACTGAATGGATGTTACCTATTATTTCTATTCCTTTGTGAGAACTTTGTTGTCCACCCCTTTTAATTTGTCTTAATATAAAATGGAAAAAGAAAACAAAGTTGTCGTTAAAAACAAGTGAAAATATATTTGACTCAAATATTTCATCCTGAATTTTTTCTGCATTTTCTTTTGGCAGCTAAAGAAATAATTACCAAGCAGTCGCACTCAAGTTACAAGCCAACCCCTTTAGTCAAACTGATCTTGGGTATACAATTAAAGTATAGCTGTATAGGCACTAGTTGTTATTGGGTCTTAACTTAAACATCTGGTTGTTAAGAGAGAGAGAGAGCTCTACTTTCCTATTTATCTTTTCTTTTTTTGGAGGGGGGTTGTTAAACCAATTGCAAAGGGAACCAAGTCCACATCTACATAACTGAAGTACCCCTGGTTAGACCCATTTTATGCTCTAATTGTAAAGGAGGATGCAAGTATGAACCGATGGAATAGTGACCAACCACCTTGAGAAGAGATCATGTACGTTGGTAATGCATAGGAGAAATCACATGGAA